GGCCAGGGGGAGGAACACCACTGAACCCCTCCTTTCAGTTACAGTTCCATCAAGTCATGGCTGGCGAGTCAGGGGAAGGAGCGAGGAGATACACTGCCAAATGAGGGTGCCACAGGATGTCTCAGAACTGTAGCCTTCACTGCCTTGTGGATATTTCTTTGTTGAAGTAAGGTAAAGGGGCCTCACCTTGACAGAAACATGCCCTCGCTGAGGTGTTAGGCAGTCAGCAGCAGCTCTTATGTGTTGTTCTCTGGCAGAAGCTGCAACCATCGAGAAACTGAGCATCTGGACTTGGTTTGGCCTTTGTATCAATAGTCAAGCGGGGATGGTAGGTCTAAGGCAACCTCCACTCCTCCATACTCTTGCCTAGGTGTACATATCAAAGCTGTTGACATGATGGTCTCAGGACTCCATAAGGGGCATAAATAGCCTGAGGCAGCTACCAAGGCATCCAAGAAGCCCTATTCAAGGGTGGCCTGTTTGCCTTTCTGGAGGAAGACCCTAGAAAAGTTGTGCTAAAAAAGCTATGCCCCAACCCAATCTATCCTGGCCAAAATGAAATAAAGTGACTCGCATGTTGGAAACTTGTAACAAGCTGTGTTGCTGTTAAGTTGGACTTGTCAGCCACTGGTGGATTCATCAGGCACCTGGCTGTACCTCTTCCACATACACCATGATCTGGAGGATCAACAGTTACCTATATAATGCCAGTTTGGTGGTACAGTTTTCTAAAATTTCATCCTCCAGGTGGCTTATGCAGAAGTTGTCATTTTGGGGGCCCATCTTTGTACCCATAACTGTGCCCATGGTTTGGAGAAAGTTGAAAATTGAGATTGCTGAAAGGTATGCTGTTGTGGCTGAGGACAAAGTGGATGATTTGTGCAATGTGTTGTAATTGCAACTCTGAATGTAGTCCATGCTCGTCTAGGTATTTCAGGCAGGCAGGTATGCCTCCATGGCATGGGATATTAGTGTGGATGGTGACATCCATGGTTACAAGTATGGCCTTCTTGGGGAGCTGGTTGATGTTCCGGACCTTATTGAGGAAGTGTTGGGTCTTATAGAAAACTTCTTATTCTTACAACTTACAAGTCATAGAATCATAGAAAATTAGGGTTGGAAGGGACTTCAGGAGGTCATCTAGTCTAACCCCCTGCTAAAAGCAGGACGATCCCCATCTAGATCATCCCATCCAGGGCTTTGTCAAGCCAGGCCTTAAAAACCTCTAAGGATGGAGATTCCACAACCTCTCTAGGTAGCCTGTTCCAGTGCTTCACCACCCTCCTAGTGAGAAAGTTTTTTGCTAATATCCAACCTCAACTTCCCTTGCTGCATCTTGAGCCTATTGCTCCTTGTTCTGTTGTCTGTCCCCACTGAGAACAGTCCAGCTCCATCCTCTTTGCAACCCCCCTGCATGGAGTTGAAGGCTGCTATTCAATCCCCCCTCAGTCTTATCTTGCTGCAACTTAAGTGGCTTCAGAATGGTTTCTGTGAATCCTAATAGCTTTTCAGTAAGAATACCACAGGTGGATGTGGTGGGTCTTCCAGGGTTACCTTATTTGTAAATCTTTGAGAACATATAAAATATTCTTGAGGTGGGAAATGGGATTAATGCAAGCAGCTTTTCCTGAAGCTGGTACAGAAAGGATTTGATAATGATTTTCAGTTTAAGAGTGAGTATTGATATGGGGTCCTCCCCATGTTCTTTATAGTACTTTCTGTCAGAGGGTTGTCTGCTAGACTCAGTAACTAGGTCTTTTGGTTAGGCTGAAGCAAACATAAAGGCCCCTTCTACACATCAAGCTAAAGGCGCAATGCAATCTAATGTGTGATTCACATAATTGTGCCTCCTGCCATGCCACACATCCATGATAAGAGGTGCAATTATGGGATCATGCATTAGATCTCATCATGCCTTATTGCTGGTGCAGGGGGAGCAAGCCCTGCACCAGGAAGCTCCCTGTTGAGGGGCTTCTAGCCTCAGGGCTGCCCCACACAACCCCAGGGCTGGAGGATCACTGCTGCAGTGATCTCCCCCACCCCCTTGGGTATGGGGAAACCCCCAGGGTTGGAGGGTCACCACAGGGGTGATCCCTGCCTGGAGGTGTGGGGAAACCCCATGAGCCAGAAGATCACTGCAGGGTGATCCCTGCACCCCAAGGGTATGGGAAACCCCTGGGGACACAGGATCACTGCAATCCTCCAGACCCTGGGGACTGCAGCTGCTAAGATCCTTAGGGCTCAGGGGTATGGGAAACTCCTGGACCCTGAGTATCATGGCTGCCAGAATCCCTGGGGCCTTGAGGATTTTACACTGAACATGGTGCACCCCAGTGGCTGGGAGCCCTGTCAGCTGGAGACTGTGTAGGCAAGGGTGGTTATTTAAATCCCTCCCTAATCATAGCCTCCTGCCAGGCCCTGGCCACACCACTCCTCAGCTCAGCATTATGGGAGGGAAGGGAGGGCTCGCTGTAGTGGCCTCCAGCTTCTAGCCTGATCCACTGCAGGCATGTGCCTGCCTTTCCTGATTTAAAAGTGAATGTTTATCCACTTGCAAATCAATTCAATCTTTGCAGGTTAGACTAACCTGCAAAGATTGAATCAATTCAGGCTCAGCCTTTTTGAATGTCTATCCCTAGCCCAGGTAATTATTCAATTAACCAGTTAATTGTGCAATACCTGTAACTTGTAGAGGGGGCCAAAGATATATTCACAAAATGTGCTAGCATTGCATGATTTTTCTTCTTTAACACTTTGAATCAAAAGGTGAGGTTTGCCAGGTTCAACAGTGAGTTTTCCCAACTATCAAACTGGTTGTATATCAGCCACAGTCATCTATAGTCTCATCTACAGCTATCGATCTATGACTCTCTTAATATAACAACAACATTTTTCAATTGTAGAACTGAGGACTATATCAAGATTAGTTTTCCCTTACAGTTGATTCATCTGGAGCATGCTGATTTAGCAGCTTTTTCCTTGATCCACAAAAAGATGGAATGCTTAGCCTGTTCCAGGGAATAATGCCACACACCATAGGTCTTCAGAGGTCAGTAGCAAAATCATTAGGTTATGCAGAACTAGGCTTTTGTCAAAGAAGAGTTTGTATGTTTTTAACTTTTCATAGTTAAGCAGTTAATGATTGCTAATCTTAACAAGTTGCTGGATCTGAATTTTTTTCCTCAAATGGAACCTGCTTCTCACATGGTCAATAAAAATAATTTTACCATGGGTTGTACACAGTAGCACACTTTTCCTATATTTGCCTTTTGGCATTATTAATGCTAAATGGCTAGCACCAATTAAAAGCTTTCAAATAACTTTGGATAAATGAAATCCCACATCATCAGCACTATGTATCTTCTGTGGAGGCAATCCCACTAACTAAGGTTACTTCTGTTTAGAACTAAATATAGCAAATACAGTGTATGCCTTTTTATGCATCAGCATCATTATTATGAACTAACTCCGCAAATATGCACTATTAAATATACATACTTGGGGTTGTAGTAGAATAAATATGTGTTTTAGTGAAAGTTCTGATAGCCTGTACACCCAGGAAAAGAATATACACTTGTATATAATAACTATGTCTAAACATGACAATAATTTTTACTTTCCTGTTCTCTGCTCCAAGGGTGCTCACTTTGCTCCTGCTCTCACCAGCAGCTTTTATTGACAGCCTTGTTTTTATATGTTGCTTAAAGCTAAGGGCTTAAGCCAAGTTTCACAAAGGGACATAGGTATATGGTGATACAACACCACAGCTCCCACTTTCTAGAGGAGTTCCTTAACCACCAGCCAATAGACTGGCAAGGCTAGGGACATGACAGCCCTCCAGCCTTCCAGTTGAAACCAGATCACTGTGCTAAAAGGGAATCAGGATTCATGGTGCCAGAATGAGATCCCTTCAAGAATTTAGGAATACCTAGTTCATGAATCATAAACATCCTTAGGTGAGAGAGAAACACCTAACTATTTTGGCCAGGTAAGAAGTCATTGTCTCCGAGCATACAAAGCAGTTTAACTTTAGGCACCTAAGTAGGTTTCCTGGCAAAAGATCAGGTTCCTATGGGGCCTGAGCAACTAAGGATGATAGGGTTTTTGTGAATTGATATCTTGGGCATAGGACTAAGCTGTATGAAACTTGTCCTTAGGTGTGCCTGTCACATGACTGTACCTGATTTTAGAAATTGTACTGTAGTGTTTTTGTATTGTCTTAGAAAATGTAAAGGATTCATATTCAGAAAATATTATAACACTGTCAAATCTATGAGTAAACATATAAAGCTTTCCAATCTACTGCTTCTTTCTTGGCAGTACACCAAACTAATGGGGTGTATTATACTGATTTTACACAGCTTTAATTCATCCATAATTCCGTGTAAGATATTGTACTTAAAGATGGGGAAACCCAGGATTATTCAGGTTTTTTTAAGAAGGTAGGTTGGGTTTCAGTTTGGAAAAACAATGGGTAGTGTGTCCAGGTTCTCTTTGTCCAAGTCTTTCACTGCTGAACAATTTAACATCTTTGGGTCTGGTTTTGATATTGTTCTATCTATGGTAATAACTTGAGGAGTCAAATAATTTATTAACTAAAACATGAAGCACAACTGTTTTCTTTTGTTTAATTCTAAGGACCTTTTGTATTAGAATAATATATTTCCAAAACAAAATTGTCTTGTTACCGGACATAGATCACAGCAAAATCATTTTGCTGACACCCCTGGAAGACTCAGTGTCTTTATATAATTTTAGTGAGTTCCAATTTTTTTCCACTGTCATCTCTACACACCAAGAAAATATGATGGTATTAGCCAGAGCCACTGCTAAATATGGCTGTTCTTTCATTCTGGAATCACTATTTCATTATGATTTAAGTCAGTCTATTAAAGGGATAGTGTAAGTCATCTAAGAGACATTGTAATGTTTGACTAATGAATGTTTGTATAGAACGTTGAGCATGTGCAGCCATAAATGCTAGTCATTATAATTTACAGTTGATGGAGATCCGCACTTCATTATATCAGTGCCACAGAAAGAAGATGCTCTTTGTTTTAATATCAATGAAAACCCAGGTGCAGTTTTAAATTTAATAACGGACCCAGTTACAGGTGAGTTTTTTATTCTTTAAATACAGTAAACAGAATATTTATATAATTTTAGAGCCTTGCATTTATAGATCTTTCCCTTTTTTGGTACAGTGGGAACTTGCAACTTCTGTTAGCATTAATGGGAGTTGCAGAGCTGCAACAAAGGAAGACTAGGTCACTTCTACTGTTTGTGTAAACATGTTTACTTTTAGGAGCAAAATGAACATGTATAGCCCTACTGGACAAAGAAACTGCATAAGTGTAATTTGGTCCAGTGAACAGAAGTTAAATGGTAGTTTACATAAGTCATTCTGTTTGCTGTACCTTGCATGGAATACCTAGAATAGCCTTAAAATCAGTGATTGAGAATAACAACTCACAAACTTTTCCCCCTCAACACAAAAACTGATGAAATACAAGTACAAAAAGAATTTTAGGGCTTTGGCATAGATTACCTATATAATGTCAGAAATCTGTGGAATGTTGTGATGTCATAAAATTACTGCATTTTTAGAACAGTCTCATGCAAAGGCTTCATGTTGTTTCAGACCTGCATGACTGTGACTTGCAGCTAGAGGGCTGGGAAGCAGAGGAGTAGACTAGGCTCTATTCTTCCCCTGTGGTGGGAGAAAAGGGGGTGGGTGGCATGTAACTGGGAGACAGAGAAACCAACATGAGGTCTGCCCTTTCTCCACCTCTAGCGCAAGTCCAGCCAGAGCAGAAAGTGAGGAGGGAGGGGACAAATCTTGAAAAAGTGTTTAAAGTAGAAGGGGGGGGCAGTGGGAATAAAGAAAAAGAAGTGAAAAAAAGATTTAAAAAGTTAAAGGACTAAAATCTTGCATGTGTCTTTGTGAATTGGCATTGGGTTGGAGTAGGGAGTGGGGTAAGGGGCAGCAGGGGTCATGCTGGCTGGCGGGAGGGGGGCAGCTGTCCTGGCCTGGTGCAAAACCCTGCGGCTGGGTTCAGCTCCAGGATCCAGCAGCTGTTAAGATGCTCTCCCAGCACCTGCATTAGTTACAGCCCTAGTGCACAGCCTCAGTGAGTCTGCTTCTCTAGGTTTGTACTCCAGCTAAAACCGATGAGGCTATTCCCTGCTTAGAGCAGAGCCTAGGCCAGAGCACAGGGCCCCAGAGAAGCAGCCATCTTTGGGCTCTGTGCTGGGACTGAAATGGAGCAGCCAGAACATGCAGTTGGGGGAAGCAGGCTTCCCCAGCTCTATGGTATCTCTGCAATTAAGCTCAGAGTTACTCTTAGCAGAAGGCGGGGGAGGAGAACCACTATAGTTTTGGAGGGTAGGAAGGGTTAAAGCAGCTGAGAGCTGTGCATCCTGGGATGCTGATGGAATGAAAATAAAGCATTTTACCTCCCCAGACCATTCAAACAATACCCTGGTTATTGCATAGGGAAAATATTTCCAAGATAAACCTCCTTTTGAATGGCTTATCTTTAAAACATTTAGAGGGTACTAATGGTAGTTTAACACCCGTTAACTAATGACCATTTTCATTTTAAATGCCTTTAAGATGTTTTTAAGGTAACTTGTGCCAGGGCCCTTATTTTTTGTGCTTACTGGAATTAACCATTAAAGTAAGTTCACATTCAACAGACTTGCCATTGCTTTACATAATTATAGGACATACCTGTGGTATGATTTGGAACTTCCATTTTGTTTCCTCAAGCTTTTGTTTTTTCCATGTTATTCCTTCATGTCTATTGACCAGATTCTATTTGTAGAACAGAATGCTCTTATTTTTTGTATTAGGTATCACTGTCAATGGACAGCTCATTGGAGATAAAAGGACAAGCAATAAGGCTAAGATCCAAAACACCTATTTTGGAAAACTTGGGATTGCAAATAAGCATCTAGATTTAAAACTAACAGTAACTCCTGAGAAAATCACCCTTCAGAATGGCAATGAAAAGTCAGTTTTCAATTGGCTTGATTCAGTCAACCTGCAACAAGAAGGGTAAAGTATATAAAAAAACCAGACTCATAAAGGAATTTTCATATGATTAAAAACATGATTGATTGCTAAAGAGTAAAATGCTTTCAAAATTTATATTGTATGAAAATGCAAGAGAGAGAGAAAAAATCTAATATTTGTTCAAATTGTACAAGATTTGATGTGGACAAACTGGGTGCATCAGCACGTGCGCTTTACTGTGAAGGTTAATTAGCTTCGCAGTTAACTGTCACTGTGTACATGCGCACTGGTATTAAGGTGCAGTAAATTAATTAACTCCGCCATAAGATACTGCTGTCAAAAGCTGTGCTTTCTTTTGGCAGAGTTATTACCTGAAGTTTAAATGCACATTTAAACTGCACCCAGTTAGCCCAGGCAGCAGGGGGCAGGTTCCGGCCTGCCAGCTAGCCACAGAGCTCCACACATGTCCCAACCAGCCCCTCCACAACCCCGGTCCCAGGGCTGACTCATGGAGCTCACTGCCAGCCCAGGCCTGCTCCACCCCTGCTCAGGCATGTGTAGACGCTGCACTCAGAAGCAGTGTGCTCAGGCTCAAACAGCTTCAGAGTTTATCCCTTGACATTAATTGCACGTGTACATGCACCCACTAATGCATACCTCAGTGTGACTTAAATCAGTTTTGTGTACTAATATAAATTGTATCAGGATATGTAATTGACAGATGTGCAGCTTATACCAAGGTGGGCTGCCGTTACTCTGCCTGAGCATTAGAGGCTGGGAAAACAGTTACTTGCTTGCTTTCCATGATCAACTGGCTCCTCCACTTCCCTTACCTAAATTTACACTAGTAGACTTTTACCCTGGTCTTTGCAGCGATAATTCTTCACTTGATTGGACAAAATTACTTTAGTTTTGAGGGTTTGCATCATCTGTCTGCTCTGTTTTTACACTGGTATAAACATGTCTGTCCATACACTAATTAATAATAAATTAATGCAGATTTACAATAATTATTGTGAGCAAAATTTGCTCTTAGAGACTGTTTGAGTGAGCAAGGGTAAAACAATGAAATAGTGAAGAGAGATTAGATAGCTTTAGCCTATAATATAAAATGTAATAGTTCCAGTCTGCAGAAACAAAAATATATGTTGTAAAAACACCTTTTCAGAAATGGATATTATCATATTTATAGAGTAATAGGTATGGTTCTACTTTTAGCAGATTTCAATAAAACATTTAATGGCTGGCTCTCCACTGGACTCACCCTTGGTGTGCCACAAATTTATACCAATCCAAAATGAGAATCAGATCAGAATGGATGTTGCTTATATGCAGGTTTGCGCAGGCATAAATGAGTATCCAAGACACAAAGCAGTGGAGAATCAGACAATTATTTTAGATCGACTTCACCACTTACATTTTTCTCACCTTTTCTTTACCTCTTTAAAATTTTCACAATATAATTTGGAGCAGTTTAAAAAAACACATTATCAACTAATCCAATTTATTAAATAACAAATTTAACATTTAAAGAAATATCCAATCACCTGTAGTATACATAAAGGCAGATACTTATATTCCCTCAACAGTGCTCCTTTTATCCCAAGTCAGTGTCCACAAGGGAGTCTTGCATTCTTTTCTTTTCTCTTCAATTTGCCAGCAGCATTTTACATTTCATAGTCAACATCCAACTTCTGTGTTTCCTCCTCTCTGTGTAACCTGTTTAATGATTCACCCCAACCTCTTTTTTTTCTCAGAATTCATTCTAAATTTATTCTTAACTGTTATCTCATAGAAACTGCACTCTACTTCAGTATTCAAAAAAGTTTCTCAAACTTTCTGGTTTAGAGGCAATAGAAGATTCTTTTTCAGCAAATTCCCAGAAGGTCCATCAGATTAAGCAAGCATCTCTTTTCCTTCTCCCCTGTAAACACTGATTGGATAAGATGGCTTCTTCATTATTAAAATTTAGGCCCCTAGCAGATATTCAATTAAAGTTGCAATGGGATTTGATCCGCAATCCCAACTGCCATGCCACAAATGCATGCACAAGGTATGGGGATCAGATCCCAATTACAACCTATTTCTGGGTTAATGATCCTGGACTCCCCCTGCACCAACAAGTAGCAAGCTGGTAGCCTAGTGCTCCCATGGGTCAGAGCTCTTGGCCTTGTTCTCCTTTGATTCCAGTGTGCTTTCATTATTAGGAGTACCAGTCAGCCTGTAAGCATTTCCAGCCACAGGAGTGCATCTGAACTCTAGGCATGCTTCTGTGTCTGGAAGCCCTGATCAACTAACCATAGAAAAGTAGGGCTGAAAGGGACTTAATCCAACCCCCTGCTCAAGGTAGGATCATCCTTATCTAAACCATCCTAGACAAGCGTTTGTTTAGCCTATTTTAAAAAACATTGCAAACAATCCTTGTGCACAAGTGCCAGCTATAATGCTCAAAAAATCAAAAACATCCTTAAATTTGTCACAGATAAAGAAAGGAGATGAGGGCACTGTCAATGACCTGCCACTGGAAGAATACAAAGTAGTTTGTTAAAAACACACTGAAGAAATCCAGGGAAGAGGACCATACCCCTGCTACAGAGGAGGTCAAACCCTCCCATGGGCCATGCCAATCTGACTGCAGGATGAAATTCTTTTATGATCCCAAATGGGGCACATACGCTCAAGAAATCCAAGAAAGCAGACCATACCTCCCACTGCACAGGAAGCCAGCCAGATTGACAGTCTATGTCAATCTGTGTGGTAAAATTCCTTCCTGATCCTAACTGGGACAGTAGTTCTGACCTTGAGTGGAGGGGCAAAACCCTCTAGCCAAAAACTTCTTGGGGTTTTTAAGTCCCAGCAGGAGCACACCCCAGTCAAAACCCACAGCCCTCAGGAACCTTCCACTCTGCACTACAGCCTGGAGACTGCAAACACAACTCTACACACCACACATCCCAAATGAAACATCCAAACTCCTCTATAAACTTATTCCAGCTCCTTATTTTTATTTTATAAATAAGCCAGTTGTGGAGGTCTACTTTATTCTCCTGGAGCTAAATATGGTCCTTTTAAAATTTCACCTGCTTTGGTCTTCAGAGCTCTATTCATTGTCTGTGAATGATGTGTCAATGGGGATCTGGGCTTCCAGCTGTTATTTTGTGCACTGAGCAACCTCCCAGGTTACTACAATAAGAACCAGCTTCACGCCAACCCAACCAAGACTCAGGTTGCAGCTTTTCACCTACGGCATCTGGGAGCAAGACAGTCAGGCGTGGCCAGGGAGACCCCTGAATCTTGGGGTGGTGATAGTGCGGGGCCAGGGCCTAGGGCAGAGTTGCGATTTATTCCTGGCAGGGCCCTGCAACAGGCGTGGGCTCTGTGGGCAGGATGTGCAGGGAGTGGACATCCTGCCCACAGAGTGGTTCTACCCTGGACCCCAGCTCCGTGCTGCCACCTCCTGAAGACCCCAGCCCTGGACACAGCTGCCTGCCTACCCATGGCCCCAACCTGTCTACCTGGCCACATGCCCTATCCACGTGGATCCTGGCCCCGAGTACATGGGGATAGTGACAATCTGTGATGGGCAGTGGTTCTGTGGGCAAAGATGTATGGGAGTGGATTGCAGCTTAGCTATAGGCCTGCACTGTCAATGCCCCATGATCCCAAGGTCTCCATGGAGACTGGCTGGGAGCTACATAGGCAGGGTGGGTAGCTGTGTCCAGGGCTGGGATCTTGGAGCATTGATAGCACAGGG